ACTACGAGCTGGTGAGGAGCTTCATGTCCGACGGGAGGACGTACCTGAGACAGCTCAACCTGCTCATCAAGGTGTTCAGAGAGCCCTTCACCTCCAGTCCCATGCTCTACTCTCAGCATGTATGTACCTCATCTGTGACAGGTCACATGATCACCTGTCTGTTTGATTAATGTTTTCTGACCACAGTGATTGATGTGTCTAATTAATGTCTGACTGCTGATCTCTGATTGGTCAGGATGTGGACAGTATCTTCAGCCGAATCGTTGATATCCATGAGGTGACCGTGAAGCTGCTGGGGTTGATCGAGGACACGGTAGAGATGACAGACGAAGGAAGTCCTCATCCTCTGGTGGGGAGCTGTTTTGAGGACCTAGCCGAGGTCTGTATACCTGTCTGTCTGTACCTGCATGTACTTACCTGTCTGTACCTGTCTGTCTGTACCTGCATGTACTTGTCTGTCTGTCTGTACCTGTCTGTCTGTACCTGCATGTACTTGTCTGTCTGTCTGTACCTGCATGTACTTGTCTGTCTGTCTGTACCTGCATGTACTTGCCTGTCTGTACCTGCATGTACTTACCTGTCTGTGTGTACCTGTACTTACCTGTCTGTGTGTACCTGTACTTACCTACCTGTCTGTACCTGTCTGTCTGTACCTGCATGGACTTACCTGTCTGTGTGTACCTGTCTGTCTGTCTAAGCCCCCTGTGTGAGTGATAAGCTGTGGTTGCACACCTGGGGTTTGATTATAGAGTGAATGGCCCTGATAGTGTCTGATCTGTGATTCGTTGATTGATTGATTGATTGATTGATTGATTGATTGATTGACAGGAGTTGGCCTTTGATCCCTATGAGACGTACACTCAGGAAATCCTGCGCTCTGGTTTCCATGAACACTTCCTGAGTCAGGTGTCCAAACCAGGAGCTGCCTTCCACCTTCAGGTGAGACGCCCTCATTATTTCCTGTTTAGTTACCTGTATGATAAACCTGAGTGAGGGACCTTTGACTGGATCCGTCACAATGCTGTTGTGAGCTAATGCTTCCAGTTGACAGGTATTATAGTGATCACCTGTCTAACCTGACACACCTGTGAAAACCTTTGTGTTTTTAGTCCATCTGTGAAGGTTTTAAAGAGGCTGTTCAGTACGTCCTGCCTAGACTGCTGCTCACACCTGTTTACCACTGCCTTCACCTGTTCGAAATCCTCAAGGTGAGAACAAAACACCTACACTACTCCTGTATTACACCCGTACCACACCTGTATGACACCTGAACCACACCTGTATGACACCTGTACTACACCTATAACGCAACTGTACCACACCTGTAACACACCTGTATGACACCTGAACCACACCGCACCTGTACACACCTGTATGACACCTATATGACACCTGAACCACACCTGTACACACCTGTGCCCTTCTTGTACCACACCTGTACCACACCTGTGTATTGGGCGGCTGTGGCTCAGTTGGTAGAGTCGTCGCCTCTCAACATGTCCGATGTGTCCTTGGGCAAGACACTTAACCCTGAATTGCTCCCGCTGCTTCGGTGGTGGTGTATGAATGGCATTAGTTACTTCTGATGGATGATACTACATAGAGATCACTACCATCAGGGTGTGAAAGGGTGTGAATGGGTGGGTGTGACATGTGGTGTAAAAGCGCTTTGAGTAGTCGGAAGACTAGAAAAGTGCTATATAAGCTCAAGTACATTTACCATTTATTACACGTGTACCACACCTGTAATGCACCTGTACACCCTGTATTACACCTGTATTACACCTGTACAACACCTGTATTACACCTGTACAACACCTGTATTACACCTGTACCACACCTGTATTACACCTGTAAGGTCATGATATATAAATTTGAAGATTTGATTTTAAAAGTGGGTTTACTGAACATGCTCGACCCTAGTACAGAAAAGGTCCACTACTAATCCAGGTCTTGTCCTGTGCAGGTTTAGTCCTGGTTGTGGCTCTGTTCCTTATTCTGTTGTATCAGCTGATTTGTAAAGCTCCTCTGAACACCCCCCCTCTTCTGTTTCTATAGCAACTAGAGGAGAAGAGTGAGGATGAGGAGGATAAAGAGTGTCTTAAACAGGCCATCACCGCCCTACTCAACCTGCAGAGCAGCATGGAGAGGACCTGCTCAAGGAACCTGGCCAAGAGGAGACTCAGGTACACACCTTTTATATAGAGCTGTACATACACCTTTATATAGAGCTGTACAAACACCTGTACATACACCTTTATATAGAGCTGTACATACACCTGTACATACACCTTTATATAGAGGTGTACATACACCTTTACATACACTTTATATACACCTTTATATAGAGCTGTACATACACCTTTATATAGAGGTGTACATACACCTTTATATAGAGCTGTACATACACCTTTACATACACCTGTACATACACCTTTATATAGAGCTGTACATACACCTTTACATGCACCTTTACATACACCTGTACATACACCTTTATATAGAGCTGTACATACACCTTTACATACACCTTTACATACACCTGTACATACACCTTTATATAGAGCTGTACATACACCTTTTATATAGAGCTGTACATACACCTTTACATACACCTTTACATACACCTGTACATACACCTTTTATATACAGCTGTACATACACCTTTTATATAGAGCTGTACATACACTTTACATACACCTTTACATACACCTTTATATAGAGCTGTACATACACCTTTATATACAGCTGTACATACACCTTTATATAGAGCTGTACATACACCTTTACATACACCTTTATATACAGCTGTACATACACCTTTACATACACCTTTATATAGAGCTGTACATACACCTTTTATATAGAGCTGTACATACACCTTTACATACACCTTTACATACACCTGTACATACACCTTTTATATACAGCTGTACATACACCTTTTATATACAGCTGTACATACACCTTTACATACACCTTTACATACACCTTTATATAGAGCTGTACATACACCTTTATATAGAGCTGTACATACACCTTTATATACAGCTGTACATACACCTTTATATACAGCTGTACATACACCTTTACATACACCTTTATATACAGCTGTACATACACCTTTACATACACCTTTATATAGAGCTGTACATACACCTGTACATACACCTTTATATAGAGCTGTACACACACCTGTACATACACCTTTATATACAGCTGTACATACACCTGTACATACACCTTTATATAGAGCTGTACATACACCTCTACATACACCTGTACATACACCTTTATATAGAGCTGTACATACACCTGTACATACACCTTTATATAGAGCTGTACATACACCTGTACATACACCTTTATATAGAGCTGTACATACACCTGTACATACACCTGTACATACACCTTTATATAGAGCTGTACACACACCTGTACATACACCTTTATATAGAGCTGTACATACACCTGTACATACACCTTTATATAGAGCTGTACATACACCTCTACATACACCTGTACATACACCTTTATATAGAGCTGTACATACACCTGTACATACACCTTTATATAGAGCTGTACACACACCTGTACATACACCTTTATATACAGCTGTACATACACCTTTATATACAGCTGTACATACACCTTTACATACACCTTTATATAGAGCTGTACATACACCTGTACATACACCTTTATATAGAGCTGTACATACACCTGTACATACACCTTTATATAGAGCTGTACACACACCTGTACATACACCTGTACATACACCTTTATATAGAGCTGTACACACACCTGTACATACACCTTTATATAGAGCTGTACACACAGCTGTACATACACCTTTATATAGAGCTGCACATACACCTGTACATACACCTGTACATACACCTTTATATAGAGCTGTACACACACCTTTATATACAGCTGTACATACACCTTTATATAGAGCTGTACACACAGCTGTACATACACCTTTATATAGAGCTGTACATACACCTGTACATACACTTTTATATAGAGCTGTACATACACCTGTACATACACTTTTATATAGAGCTGTACATACACCTGTACATACACCTTTACATACACCTTTATATAGAGCTGTACATACACCTGTACATACACCTGTACATACACCTTTATATACAGCTGTACACACAGCTGTACATACACCTTTAGATAGAGCTGTACACACAGCTGTACATACACCTGTACACACACCTTTATATAGAGCTGTACATACACCTGTACATACATCTTTATATACACCTGTACATACACCTTTATATACAGCTGTACATACACCTGTACATACATCTTTATATACACCTGTACATACACCTTTTATATACAGCTGTACACACAGCTGTACACACAGCTGTACATACACCTGTACGTACACCTGTACATACACCTGTAAATACACCTTTATATTGAGCTGTACAAACACCTGTACATACACCTTTTATATAGAGCTGTACACACACCTGTACATATACCTTTTATGTAGAGCTGTACATACACCTGTACATACACCTGTAAATACACCTTTATATAGAGCTGTACATACACCTGTACATACACCTGTAAATACACCTTTATATAGAGCTGTACATACACCTGTACATACACCTGTAAATACACCTTTATATAGAGCTGTACATACACCTTTATATTGAGCTGTACAAACACCTGTACATATACCTTTATATAGAGCTGTACACACAGCTGTACATACATCTTTATATACAGTTGTACACACACCTGTACATATACCTTTTATATACAGTTGTACACACACCTGTACACACAGCTGTACACACACCTGTACATACACCTTTATATAGAGCTGTACATACACCTTTATATTGAGCTGTACAAACACCTGTACATATACCTTTATATAGAGCTGTACACACAGCTGTACATACACCTTTATATTGAGCTGTACAAACACCTGTACATATACCTTTATATAGAGC